TATATATTATTACAACTATATATTATTACAAATCCACTTCCATTTTCTGCAGAGAAATTCAGGTTCTCTTTCTAGGTCATAAACTCATTGTTAAATATTCACTACAGGACTTGTATTACATAATTTTAATAACTACAAACTCCAAAGCCTAATTTCTAAGATTATTAGCCTAAGATTATTAATGAATTGAGAACAAATTTTGTAAACTGAAAATAGGAAAAGATTATACGACAGCTTTATCAAAGGCAGCTTTTACCTAGCTAACTTGATACCCTTCAAAGTGAGGAGTTAATGAAGTCCAGCAAGAAATTATCTTTGCATGCAGTATATATCACCTAGTGTATTTTTCTTGTCTACAAAGTCAGTAGATTTTTTTTTCTCCAATACAGAGCCAAGAAACTATCAAGAAACTAAGAAAATGGAAATTAGTCCTTTATCCTGTTTCTAGCAGTCTTTGAAGGGACTATGGAAAAAGGAGCTATTAAAATGGTGTTTGACATGGGATTCAATACCTCTTTTCAAGATCATGTGGGTAAACAGCAGGGAGGAGAAGCTGTTTAGCCCAGAGGTTTAATGCTGGCACAAGATCAGATGACTATAAACTGACCACAGACAGATTAAGGCCAAAATTTATATAAAAGGTGAGAGAATGCGGGTTTTTTAACATTCTTTTAATAATAATTTTTTAATAGTATTACAGGTTGTGGGAGCCTGCAATAAGCACAATGGAGTGTATAGGAATGGAGAAGACCTTCTCTGCTATGCTATGCTGTAACATATTAAAGCTTGACTCTTTTTTTTCCTCCCACAATATCATAATATCTTGAAGCTCACGCAAACTGAACCAGCAAAAACCAGACAGACTAGGTATTGTGATGTTTCCCAGAACTGTACATGTTACTTATGAACACACAGATTTCAATGGACTTTCCTCACAGACAAATTTAGCATTTATAAAAAATTAGCTTTACAAATTCACTCAGTATCAACAAAAGCTAGTGTCCACGATTTAAAATATTATCAACGTAATGCTACTCACATTTTTCTGTGCTTATGTTGCCCGAGACTACACACGAATTGCAGTCAGGAGACTTACTGATATCTATCTTACTTCCACATGATGGCGCACTGGCACCAAGAATGATAGCATCTCCCTGCCCCCGCCTTCACTCAAGCATAAAAGTTTCAGTAACTTAACACTGCTAGTCCCTGTTCTTACCTCGGGATGAAAGAAAATTTCAGGTCCAAGGAACCTTTCATAACCGACATCTATAACAAACTTGGTCTTGTTGATCGCATTGATGCCAGTATACTGTTTGATCCACTTTCGAGGATCTCCATCGTACTTGGCAAATTCTTTCACTATGTCAGGGCAAATGTAACAGTATTTCTCCTGTTAAGATATACCATGCATTAAAAACTGCCAAAATAATTATTCCATCATTGAATTAAAGTATAACACTATCAGAAAACAAAAACACGCAAGCACTCATACAGATGGGGCTGTTTAAAGGATGTTCCCATCCAAATGACTGAGGATTCAGCCCTGCAAGACTATAGCACAGTGACTTATTTAGATTTGTCTCACAATGAAAACATCACAACCATTAGGTCTGTGACAATAAAGTAGTTCAATGGCAAGCTCTCATCGCAAGATCAGACCCTCACAGTCACCCTGCTGACGTTACATACATTTATTTTTTCAGTAAATTAAAAAGCAAATTTTAAACAAATCTAAAGCTTAAAATGCTGATTTAATCTGCAGAACACATTCACTCCAAACAGTCTAGCATGAACACTTTCTTCCTCTTTCTCCTTCTCCCGCACTTGATTGGATAAACCATCAGAAGCTTGTGTAATTACAATACATTGCCTACATCTGCATTTTTAAGAAAGCCACTGGCAACTTGTTAAAGCTAAAAAGTTAGCTTAGAGTTTTATTTATGTATTTATTAAGAGATAAAGAAGGGTGTACCTTTATGGCTTTTGCTGTCTCCAGAGATTGTTCAGGAGGAATTCCCACCTCCCTTTCCCTTAGGAGTTGTTGAATAAAATAAGTGATATCTCTACCTGCAATAGGAATATGTTTGATGCAACTTCCAATTACATAGCCTTCTGCCTACGTAGGAGGAGAGGAAAAAATATTTAGGGAAAAACCTACTATGTATCAATAATTAAAAGCAAAACTAAGATTCATTTTTACAATTGTTTTTATTTTTAATTGAAAGTAAAATCTTTAATCTGTAAAATTACTGTAAGAATGTGTAACCCAGTGCAAAGTGGATATTACTTTTATTTACAAGACCTTGATCACCACATATAAACAGATACTGATTATTTAATAGATGCACAAGTGATAGACTTGCACACAACAGAAGACAAAGTCTGGTCAAATTGTTTCTTCCAGGCATGATCCGAAAAGCAAACATTATATAGACCACTCGTGTCCTGCTTGAGTGTGGAAAATTAATAGGAAAAAGTAAAAAAAAATATTAAAATGCTCAGACAAGAAAAATCAAATTAAGTAGTATTTAACAATAAGCACAATAAAAACAAGAAATCTATTTGCTGGTTTTTTTTTCAGGATGGTATTGCATACTGGTATTGCTGAGCTGGAAGATGAAGTTACTCAAACTTTCATTTCTAAAATAACTGATCATTCAAGCATACGCTATGCTTCAGAAATACACAAAATGACATCAATAGAACAGATGTAAGTATGCACAGATAATTCTGTATTTTTAACATCCTAACACAAGTCATTTGAGACTGACCACGTATATGAGCACACGTTTATACTACACCTTGTAGTTGTTTCCACGCAAGCAGAGTTCACTAACTTCTAAAATACAATAGAATCATATAAAAAGCACATGTTGTCAGCTACATTAAACAACCAAAATGCAAGACACCAAAAAAGTTAGGACATTTCTTGACAGACATTGGTGGCACACTGGACGTCTAAAACCCTGATAAGCATTAACATTACACAGAACTGAGACATCACAGTAACAGAAGACAAAGTTTCATAAGGGAGGGAAAAAATCCTCCAAACCAAGCAACACTAAAAATTTAAAAATAAAGTTTAGTTGGACATTTCTTATTTAAACCTATAGTAAACAAACCCCATACTTGTCCAAACCACTGGAAATCTCAAACTGCATCCTGCTACATACCACAGGAATTACGTGGGTCACTCCATCACCGCTGTCGATGACAATTCCAGTCAAAGTACGTTCTCCAACCTGCCGAGACGTCCAAGAAGCAGCTAAGGCCAACACTGCCTACATGAGAAAGAGTTCGTATTTAGAAGCAAGCAGTGTGCTAATTTACAATCTCAGAAAATACTGTTTCAAACATTTCTAGACATGTGCATACAGAAGACTATACATACTGCAGCTATACTGTACTTTAGAAGTATACATTCACTTTGTTCACCTGAACAGCAATGTAAAGTCCTGGTATGTTAAATGATTCAAACATGATTTCTGCAAGATACTCTCTGTTTTCTGGTGTGTTCAGTGGAGGCTCTGTCTGGGAAAAAAATAAATAAATAAATTAAAACTGCACCTCAGTAGAATCCTGACAGTTCACCCATTGATTAGCTCAGTACAGTAATCAAACTTTCAAAACAGAAAATTTCAAACCAAATTTATTTTATACAATGTGACTGAAGCTTTTCAAAAACAAAATCCCACCTGTGGTAGCCTACATCACAAAATGAACATAATTTAGTCATAATGCAGCTTTACAGATTACTTTCCTCCACTCACCCCCACTCCCCTCGACCTTGGTTGCTGAAGAAAGAAGAGACACATACACAGAAAAAACCTTCAACCTGTGCTTGGAACATTATTTAGTTTTCCTCTTACAAAAATATTTTCTTACCCAGTTTCATTAACTCACCATTAAAAAATAGTGATCCTCAGGTTCAGCTCGTAGGTATTTAAAAATCACCTGCTCCATGAATCGCTCCATGAGGTCCCAGTCTTCAACAATACCATGTCGGATAGGCCACTGAAACAAGAAAACTTCTCAACACTGCAGGCCATACAAGGATAAACAAACCCAAAACCAGGAACAGTCTCAGCCCCCAAACCCGCACATCTTCTCCAAGAACAAAAACACCTTATCTCATGGGTAGCTTATCAAATCCCTCATTCTAGTTTAAATTTAGAGGCACTATTTGAAGTGATCTCCTGCTCCCACGTCCTTTAAACTGCGATGTTATCTTGCTGGACTAAAAGCCAGAATCCAGACACTATCACTAATACTGCTACCACTCTATTGTGGCACTGTGTTTTCATCTCTTTTTGTAGCAATTTTATCATTTAGGAAGTTGAGAATCATACTTGGCTTCAATGTGCCTTCCAGTCTATAAAAAGAAATAAAGACCGTATAGGCTATATATTTTTCAATGAAAATTCTGGCAGGGATGGTGTTTACATTTTGTTCAGTGTTAAGAACATAGTTGACATTTAAGTAATACAGTAGGATGTATAAAATATGATTTTCTTCCACATAACTCATAAGCTGGTAACATTTTGTAAGTACAAGAAGTCCTTTACTACAGTATGGAAAATATGATTCACAGAAAAGCTGCATAGAAGACAGCCCTCCACAAAACTGTGACACTCCCTGAATCAAAAGTATCCAACATAGTCCCCAGTTCATGCGCCATGTCAAGAGGATACACTTTTAGCAAGAATTTAAATATTCAGTGTTTATGACTATTTTAGTAGTTAATAACGTTGAAAACTAAACATCTGCACTGTATCAATGGATATTTACAAAAGGGTTCAAGCACCAACCAACAGCACAGCACTAGTAAAACAGACATTTAGAAGAATGTAAAGCCATGATGAAATTATGCGGTCTTTAAAAAGCCACAAAAATATTTTACGGAAAGCAAATGTGCATTTTAAATGGCTATCAGAAAGGTCTAGAACATCATATAATAATAATCAAGTGAAACTCTGGAAAGTCTTCTTCAAAATACTCGATGCTTACCTTTGTAGCATAGGTAGGTTTATCTATGGCTTCATCTCCTATGAAAAAGTCCAGATCATCAACGCCTTTCATCACCCTCCTCTGAGCCTGGTCACCTACTTTGGCTGATTCTCGAATTGCAATACCTTAAAATAAAATCCAAACAAATCAAAACAAAATTGAAACAACCAAATACCAACCCATGAGTATTCATTTAGTTGAGGATTCTTTTCTAGAAAGCAGTAATTATGGAAGCGATCTACTGACAAGGAAGATAGCAGAGTTTGTTCTCACTGAATCACATAGGTCACCCATCCCTCATTAATGTAAATAATAAGAGAAAATCTTAAAAATTTATTCTGTTCGGACTGCAGCAGTCACTAAACCTGTGCAAGTACAGCACTCCACCAGAGATACTCTTTAAGCCAGTAGCAACATTAATTTCTGCGTTTCAACTCTGACAATTAAGAGAAAGAGCACAGGAGAAAAAGAAAATAAACTATATACTTCAGAAATAAGTATTAGAGTGATTATCTCGGCTGGTGAGAAGGAAGAAGGGAAGAAATCAATTTGCAGTGCTACAGAAAACTCTTCCGAGACACTTATGCTTCCCATTAGCAGGCTGTAACTATCACTACAATTATTAGATGATGGCTGCTATGGGCAGGAAGATGAGACGGCAAAAAAAAAACCAAATCTGGGGCAAGCTATAAATAAAAATGAAATAAAGTACTCTTAAAACATAACCTTATTTATAGACAGTTTTCTTTTAATAGGTCATAATCAGGATCTGAGTAACACACACTAGAAAACGCAGAGTAGACAGGCATCATCCACAAACACACCAAATACTATCAGCACCAAAAAATACTGACATGCTAACAATTATTTTGGAAACACATCTAAGCTCCAACAAGGTTACAGTTCTATAAAACAGGATTTATAACAAATTCATAGGAAACTCTTGCTATCGTACTTCTTTAACATAAGATATTTAAATCTTCACCAGTAGTTCAACTTTGAATTTTTTACACCACTTCAACTATAACCAGTACTGCCCCTACATCTGGTAAAGGGCATGTACCCCACCACCTCTCTGGCCTTCAATTACTTTTCTTATTTCCTTGCCTTTCTACCTTCTACTGTGAGTAGCTACAAGGCAGTCCAGATGCATTAATAAGCAGTTAATGGCAAAGTTCATGAAAAGTAAAAGGCAATGTTGAACATAACTGCAGATAACCGTGACATTAATAGATGCCATTATAGACATAAATGTGTTCTCAGTGCTACTATTTATAAACATATACAGTATTTGAGAGAAAATATTAAGACAACAATAGAAATCAAGACCACCAGAAACGTGTAACATTTTAAACAAGTTTAACATACAAAAATCAAGAGTAAATCTGCTCAACAAAAGCATGTTAAATGGGCAAAACCATTTTAATTGGTAAACGCATACCCCAAAATAGTATTTTCTAATAGGAACAACTTTTTTGAATATTAAACTGTCTACAGTCCCAGACAATGTAAATAAGGCAGACACCACCTGCACCTTAGTACTTAATTTGATTGGAAGTCTTCCCCAGATTATCCGGGCAGTAACCATGGTGTCAGGTAGACAGGAGGTAAATTGCACGCTGTCTACTCAAGAGTCCTGGCAGAAAAATAATGGAGATAAAAAGGAAATTGGACTGGAGTTTTCTTCATCTTTGTCATAGCAACCAAGAGCTGTGGAGGAGTTGTGTTTAGCTACACTCCGGCCAAAGATGCTAACGCAACGAGTGTCAATTTCCAGATGGACAAGAGACTATGGAGGCTGTGCTGGGAGTCGGAAAGCACATCATTGACTCATGGAAGTGCTCAATGATGGCGGTGGATATTAGAATTTGAAGGGACAAAAAATTACTCACATGATGGGATGATGAACTGAGGTTCTGTATTTCCTGCATAGCCAAGTTTCGTATATCTAGAAAAAGAATAATCATGAGGTCATTAGATGGACTTAAGAGTTAAAAAGAGAAAAAGATACTTTCAACTCACTGCACTGAAAGCAAAGGCCAAACAACTGCACTCCACATCTACTTTTTCTGGATATGCTTTCAAGTGCCATCCTGCTGAGAAGAAAACTCAGACGTGGTAAATATTTTAAGTGTTATTTATTTTTCAGACACCTTCAGCTTGCAAATTTTAGCAGTGTTTCTTCTGAACACTCATCACTTACTTTCTCCATCTTGCTGAGCAGCTATGACAAAAGATAGGCAGGCAGCATTCACCCTGTGGTAATAAATGGGTCGTACAGATCTGACCTTTCACAAAGCTACCATGACCAACGATGTCATTAAGACTTTGTGTATTTGTTTAGTATTATCAAATACAGGGGGGGAAATAGTATGTCTTAAGTACAAACCATAGTTCAGAACTCTAGCACTCTTGCAATCCCAAAACAATTCCCTTTTGTGCCTTGCACAAACCACTCACTACACCATACATACTACACCGAAGTAAGCATGCATTGATAAAATGTTTTAGAAATGGGCAGCAGATGGTATGAAGCATCACCCATCTCTTTCAATATACCTATAATGTCTATTTTAACAAGTAAAGGATGGAGAGAAAAAAAAGAAACTAGTAACTCGGGGATGAAAAAACACAAAACAAAAAATCTCTGACTGGTGTTACTGGCTGCAAGCTAGTTCAGGCCTTTAGCAATTAGAAATAATTAACATCCCAGACTATGAAAAACAGCTCTAATTCCTAAGGGGGGGCGAAATTCAAAAGCAGTTCCAAAAAAAACCAAACCAACAAAAAACACCAAAAAGCACCACCCAACAAAACTGAATGGTTGGAGAAACTGAAGTCTTTCTCTAATATTGTCATTAGATTGAAATAGAAGGCGAATAATAGCATGATCTGAGGGAAATTAGCATTATTCACATCCATGTTTACCATTAAAACCTAAAGCCGTGACATTATGAAATGAGACCAATCACAGTCTAGGTTCTGACATAAATTTAGGGTCTTTGTCCACAGCCTACTCTCAATATGTGCAAACAATATTATGCCATTGCTAAAGCAGAGGCTTGCTTCTTCATCAGTAGCTTAAACAGTAAGTTCCCCTTTATGGAGTATTTGGTATAAAACCACTCATTAGGAGTCAGTTTGCTTAGATAAAGGAATTAAATCAAAACTGAATTAGCAATGACCTTGAAATTTAAATATTATATTTTCAACATCTCTTCAAAGTTATAGCTTCAACAGACTTCAAATAATAGTTAAAAAAGCCATTTTCCCCAAGGCTAAAAAGGCAAGGACTGTGTTTTGAGGACAAGGGTTTGTAACATTTTTACTCATAATTATATGGGCATCTGCTTTCAGTCTAATCCAAAATGTTTATGCATATTTTCTGTGGCTCTCAAATACTATAATCAGGGTATTTAGACTGATTTGTAAAGAAGGCCATTACTAGGAAGAATTCTTTTTATGATTATTATTGCATACTTTCATCACATTTTAGAATGAGGCCTACCTAGGGAATTCTGTTAAAACATAATAAGCAACAACAGGAGTTACACTGGGATTTAAGACGCATTACAAGATATTTCCCTTTTGTCTCTCTCTCCGAAATGAGTTTTGTTCAAATGCACATAGTGAGGACCAAAGAAACTGGTTTTGGATTCAAGAGACCTAGTTCTAAGACTTTGAAATGGCAATCAGGCAGAAACTTGACTAAAACAGCCCTTCAAGCACCAGTGACATAACCAAAGTCAATGGATACATTTATACACATATACCTAAACATGTAAATATGTATATATACTTTTTATACAGTTTTACGTGTGCATATACTCATATACACACAAAATTCAAAAGTTCCCACAACATACCCAGAACTCATTTCTTTAACCAAACTCTGACTCAGAGGTGAATTCAGTTTGCCATCTTTTCCCCCTCTGCACGCATATCAAACTCATACCTAACTCTCAGTATTAAAAAGAAAACAGCCTCTAAAAGTCAACTTGGGCTATTAGTCTGCAATAGCTTTACCTTCCTTCTCAAGTAGGAAACACATCTCCCTATTAGAATACCTTACAAAGTAACCAAAAGCCTACAGCTCAATAGTAAACAGATTTATTTTTCCACTAGCTGAATGAATCCCAGTTAAAACTACAGGATAAGCCTATTTCTTAATATCAGTGAAAAACAGTTCTCTTCAAATAACATCTCTCATAGAAGATAACATCTAGAAAGATTTCTGTTGCATGCCATTAATCCATGAAGGATTAATACCAGAACTGCGAGAATAACTAAGTTCTCTATTCAGTGGTGAAGCAAGGAAGTTAAAAAAAATCCCGGTAAAAAAAAAAACTATTTAGAAACAAGAGACAGACTTGAACAAGCAGCCATATTTCAAGTCTTTTGACAAAACCAAATGGACAGGTAACTCTACTCTCAGAACCACTGAGGAAGAGAAGGAAAAGAGACGATGCGGTTGTGTTGCCCTCTTATCCAGCAGCCGATTCACTCAGGACATGGCAGGCTTAGTCTCAGGTTTTTCTTTTGCCCAGCAGGACCTAAACACATTGCACCTTCCAGAGCCATACCCAAGAGTCCATCAAAGTGTTTGGGTGACCCACTTCTAGGGCCTCCTACACAGATTGCTCCCGTTTATACAAGATATTTAAATATTCATTGACCTGTAAGGCTACAGACAAATAGTTAGAGAGGTTACTTGGTCTCCAGGCCCTTCTCCAATGAATATTTAAGCACCTATATAACAGGTTTTCTTTTTCCTGAGTTACAGCCTAGCAGACTAATGGTAATGCAACGTCTTGTGACCTGCAAATTGCAGAGACAGCTGTAGGGAACGTGTAGATAATGAGTATTCCAACTTCATCTCATTAAAAGTAGCAGATTTATTGCCAGTGAGATACAAACCTATTGGAAACTCTCCAAAATATAGGATACCTGAGGCTGCATTAAAGATTAGTAGAAAACGGATCCAATAGACTAAGGTTGTTTCCTGCAACAGGATTTGGAGGGACTACTCATAAAAAAAAAATCACTGGAAATTATATATTGTTGAAATAAGCAGTTTCTAAAGATAGTGTTGTCTCCTACATACTATTTTTGCCAAGTCATTAGTTAGTACACAAATCAGTTTCACTAACTTTTGCATAAGGAATAGTCATCCAAACCCTGCTCTCTTCTGAAGTCCTACCATGGAAAGACGGAAAAAACTTACATAGAAAAATTACTGCAAAGAAATCCAAATGGACAGAACTTGGAAGCAGATGATACAACCTCAATCATTTTAAAGAGCAGAGAAATAACTTGAAAAATTCTTACTAAAGCATAAGAACAACATAATTTAGGTAATTAAAATCACAAACTCAGGCATTTGCTTTATCCATCTCAGAATACAAGACATCCAATTTTTCTCTGGACAAGTATGCAAAAGAGCAAAGCCCAGCTGTGAACAATCTAGCATTTCCTCTATTTCTATTGCTCTTTGGTCCAGGTCTTTAAAACAAAGTGTTACAGCCACAAAAAAAAAAAGCTCTGAAAAGACAGATACAAAGTGACTGAAAACAGCAAAATGCTTTAAGAAAGTCCTGTAAACAAACAAAAATAACTTTTCTAAAGAGAACACTTTCCCTGACAGCTTGGGTGCTCAATAACTAACAGTTATTACTGCCAGAACACCTGTGATGCCATGCTGCCACAAACAGACTCTATTATCATTATTACAAACATCCCTGAGAAACTCACAACCCAAGTTCTTCATAAAGATGTGGAAAGGCACTTTTGAAATGAAGAAGGATGCAATGAAGGAATGGAAATGAGGAAAGAGATGAAGGCGGAAATATCAAACAGAAAAAAATCTACTATGTCTGTCCAGTTTGCCCAAGAGCACCAGCAGCCACTGTAAGAATAAAGTGTATATTAAAGTCATTGCTTTTTTTTTTTTGAGAGGATCTCGCACTTTATAAGACTGTAACTTGTGATTATAAACAACAGTTAATTAACTCAGGCTCCTTAGACCCAGAACAGCAATTACGGTAACACCTGCTCCCAAGTCTCACATGTAAAGAGCAGAGGTAACACTTGGCTAAAGCAACTCACTTAGCATCAGAAATAAAGTAAGAGGGGAGAAAATGTAACACGTTCAGAGGTTCCAGCTATCTTTAATAGCTCAGCAACAACTAAAAACACCTTAAGCTTTAAGTTTTACAACCAGTCCAGCTCACTTCTCCCAGAAATCAAGTATCTATTTCTAAGCTCATCAGCAAGACCTTACCAAAGCAATTTTTCTTTTAGTAAAGAAAAATGGAGTGACATCAATAAAATACAACCAAAATAGAAGTATTCCTCAGTGTCTGCAAATACACACATTGAAGAGGAGAGAGGTATTTTAAGGCATCTTTGTTTCACACACCCACCTACTAGCGTTCTGATGTCCCACAGCTAAATGCCAGTTAATAAAACTGGTTATGAAGTTTAAAAGTACTTAAAACAGCAACACCAGAAAGGCCTGGAAGTCCTAAGAAACTAAAAATAGCACGCCCTTCGCCATAAAAAGACCAACAGCAACGTGTAAACTGATCACGAGGAAAACCTCATGCAAAGAAAGCGAAGATGTAATGCATCAAAATTGCAGTCGGACAAGTTATTTGCAAATGCTAATGAAAAAGGTGATGGCAAATTATTAGTGCTCTTTGCAAAATTTTTCATAAACTCTTCACTCTTTATAAAGAAAGTTCAAGCCATCTATCCAATAGAGAAAATGAATGTTATTCTGTCCTGCTATGATGATATTTTTCTCACTGAAGCTCTGCACCTATTTTCTATACACCTGTTGTTGCTTTTTTTTGAGAAATTACAGCATTTTACAGGACTGAGGCCTATGGCTGCAAACAACAGTAAATTAAACCAGGGTCCTTACATGCAAAACAACAACAACAGTCTTTTCACAAACTTCTTAAATCCCCTTACACGAAAAGAAGAGGGATTAGTGCCTGGACAAAGCACCTCATTCAGTACCAGAGATGCAAGCAGAAAAGTGTAATTTATATACATAATATTCCACAGTGCATGTCTGTATATACCTCTTCCTTTCCACTGTGCTCTTCCAAGTTTTTCACCGGAAAGACCTTTCCTGAATAATTCAAATGAATTGTTTGAAGCTTGTAACCCAAAGTAGATTCATTCTAACAATAAGAAGGTTTTTCAGCCCACACAGAGGAAAATTCCAGAGGCTGTGTATCAATGAGTCAAGCTACTTCTTCTGGCTGCTTTGGTTCAGACTCTTTCTTCTTGAATTCTGCAAGATAAATTCCATAATCTCATTGCTGAAAAATCTTCCACACAAGCACCCTGCAGCAAAGCCAAGCAGAAGTCACACCAGCAGAGACACTGTGTTGCCTCACATGAATTAAGATCCGTTGGAGGCATCGAAATGCAAAGTCACATCATTTGGGGGGCTATCCGAACCCTTCCTGAAACAAACTGATAGACACACCCACAAACTCCACCAGTTTTTCCAAGGCAAGCACTAAACAGATTTTAGAAATACTACCTAAATTATTATTTCTCTCAAAGGACACAATAAACTGTTTTCTGTCATTTATTTTGTGCAACTGCTGGTCAGCAATATCCACTGCTGGTGTAACACCGGAATCACTCCGCAAACTGAGAGCAAAAGTCTCCTGCAAGACAGGCATCGCATTTAACACATTTTCTGGATTTTGCAGTTTATACTGTAGCCTTTTTAAAGGATTCACCTAGAGGTCCCATTTCACTCCTTGAAAAACTCTTCAAAACTGTGAAACAATATTCCTGTAATACCAACACTTCTGTGGATAACAGACATTTAAAATACCTTCAGCAATTAAATAGAAGGAACCTGGGAAACTACCAAGGAGTATCTAATGCACATGCAAGATGGAACCCAGACCCTGTTTTATTCCCAAAGTGTCCAGCTGTGGGCTCCAGTATTCTCCAGTGAGCAGACAGAGCTGATATCTCGTAAGACAAGGTATAAACAGAAACAGGGCGAGAGACTTCTGAAAGTTTTGTGACAGTTTACTAAAGACATATTTCAAAATATGAAACACTTTTTCAGGAGAAGACAGTGTGACACCACATCATTGAAAAGTGCTTTCTGGTTAACAAGGGGTTTCTTGTTTTCATTTGAAAATGAAAAAATTATTTAGGTTTGGGGTTTTTTAAGACAACTCAGTTTCAGAAATTTTAAAGGTAACATTCTAAGCATTAAATAAATGAAAATAGTGCTACAAATTACTTGCAGAGGAAAGGCCTATTACTGCAATAAACTGATGCAACCAATGACACTGAGGCACAGCTGACAAGTAAAGCTATTGGCTGAATAGTTACTTATGGACTGGTGCCTCCTCTCCTCAGAGCTATCTGTTGGGCCAAAGGAAAGGTATTAGCAAGAACACACAGTATCACCTTCATTACAGCTCCCTTTGACACCTCCTACTTCGGAGGCATGGCAGAACTGGTCTGTTGGATGATGAATGTGTCTTCTCTTGCCACAGACAGGTAGGAAAGACCTGTTCCTGAAATGCCTCCCGAGCACAGCCTCTACAATTTTGATTCATTTTAGTCCTCAAAGACTTGAGTTACAAAACGTGCTGTTTGGCTAAATGTAGAATAAATCTCACACTGATCTGATAATGATGAAGAAGGGATGACTTTATGACCAAGAAATACCACCCGTCTAAGACAGCCAGCTCTTATCTCATCGCTGGCCAGGGATAATACCTGGAGAGGTCCAAGGAGATGTATGTGCAGTCTAGAGGCATGGCCAGATGTGATCCTGCAAGGCCACTGCAGTCCAGGTGCAGTCCTGTGGCCATGGAGAGGCCCCAGCCCAGCAATCACACCTACCTACCTGCCTCTGGACCACAGTCAGCATCAGTTCACAGCTCCCAGGCAAAGCAAACGTGTTCCCTCTCTCCAGGCAGTCATTTGAAATAAGCCATCCCCAACGTCAGCAATTTAATCATACAATAGTTTAAAGTCAGAAAACACGAACAAAAATTGGACCCGAGAGGAAAAAGGGCACCGTCCCTGGAGGCACACGGCCTGCCCAGGGGAGAAAGCTGTGGCTGCCCCGTTCCCAGCGGGGAAGACGGCCAGGGGAAGGAAGGGACACTCAGGAGAGGGCAGTTGGCAACAGCGACAGAGGGGCCCGAAGGAGAGAGAGCCCCTCGGCTCCAGGGGCGACAGGCCGAGAGCGGACCGGGACACAGGGCAGGAGCCCAGACCCGTGAGAGAGGAAGGGACTCCCCACTGAGGGCACTCGCCGGCAGCGGGAGGCGCCTGAGGGGCGCCGGCACGGCGGAGACACCCCCCCGCCCCTTGCTCCCCAGAAAGGAGACTGGCAGCGCCGGCCCCCTCCTTTCCCCGTACTCACCCGGTGCCTCCGTCTATCACGCAGGGGGGCAGGTA